ACAGGTATTTTGTGAACGTGTGTTTTTATATTGAAGGGATGATTTGCTCAGGAAGAACTAGACTTGTTGGTCTTGACAGATTAACACAGATTTATTTTCATGTCACAAGTTGGTGTGATATGGTAAAATCCTCCATGGTTATAAACCATCTTTGAAATTAAATGTTTTTAAGTGTGTTTACGTCAGCCCTCTCAACCCCTGAGTCAGTGTCCTCTTATGAAGGCAGTTATGTAAGGTATGTCTCAAAGGAGCTGCACACAGAAAATCATTAGAGTAGAGGGAGGCAATGTGTCATGCACACTCTCTTTGTCATTGCTGATTCCAAAAATGTCCCAGTTATAGTTTCTTTCACTTTTACCAACTTTATGACAAGAAGTGGGTGCATAAGAAAATGTGAGTTTTATAAACCAACACCAACATTTAACAGAAAAGAGAAGGAACTTAAGAACATGCTGGACTTGACTACATAAACAAAAATGATCAAAGAATATAAAAGGTGTGTGTGTGTGTGTGTGTGTGTGTGTGTGTGTGTGTGCGCGCGCGCGCGCGCGCGCGTGTCCCACAGTCTCAACGTCCACTCCACAAGCCCAACATAGTTCAAACAATGAAAAACACACACAACAAAAATAATCTGTTTCGGGTTTTACTACGGATCTTCATAAACCAACAACACAGGAAAGTAAACAGAAAGAGAAGCAACACCACTGTTCCCATATACAATATGTTCAGGGCACTCACGACCTCCACACGCATTGCTCAGAAGCTACTGGTCACTTCTGTGTGTTGGTTCAGATTATGCAGGTTTGTGGTCAAGGGGTTGTGACGTGATTGCACACTCACACATGCAACCAGCTGCACCTGCTGCTGTGGCAGCGTGTGGGGTTGGGCAGGGAGACGTGGCGCTGTGCCGTCTTCGCGTACTGCGAACCAACACCGTGGACATCTGGACCATGATCTTTAGTAGAATCGTTACAGCCCTACTGGTTAGTATTCAGAACAGTTTCATACCAAACTATATCATTGCAGCTAAACAGCATTGTTGTGACTGATGGTGTCTTTCTGAGTGTGGACCACCCATGTACAACGCTTGAATCGGGCCAGAGGACAGCAGCTTCATCCAGAGCTCATCAGCCTGGCTCTGGCCCACCGAGCGGACAGGCTTTCTCACTGTTCAGCCAGGCATACATGAGCCGCAGTGGAGCAATGCAAGGAGAGAGAGGGGGGTGTTAAAAGAGAAACAGGGAAAATGAGAGGAGGGTGGGAGACTGGTAAGAGGGAAGGAGTGCAAAAAGAGCTGGGGTAGTTTGAGGGTGTGGGGGAGAAGATAAGAGAGTGACAGATTTGGAGTGGGAGGGCGGGAAAACAGCAAACTATGGTGATTTTTTTGTGTTCAAGGGGAGATCTGCTTGTTTGGCTCTCTGCGAGGAGGGGCCCTTTTACAGCTTGTGGGTTTACTGTGTGTGAGAGTATTAACAGTGTTTGAGTGGGTGGCAGGGAGAAGCAGTGGAGTTATTCTTCTGTTTTAGTTTTAGTTTTTGTCTGGAGCTGTAAGAACACAATTTATACTTTGACTCCAGATGAGTGGACACACTTTATTTTTGAGCGGTTTGTGTCGACCTTTACTTTCACACAGGTATTGGTAATGTTCAATAATCACAACTTAATCAAAGCAAAATAATCCTGACTTACAATGTGGAACAACAACATGTCTACACATCATAAAAGATCTCATTGTATGAAATTAATTTAATTTGCTGTGGGAAAATGGTTTAACGTTGTCTTTTATTATTGACTTACCTGAAAACACAACGGGTTGCCTTGTCACAACTTAAACTTTTATTTGTAGATGCTATTTCCTGATTCTTTTGTAAAGTGCAAAAGATCAGAAAAGAAACTGAACATGCAGAGACTTGTAAACAACCCTCAGAGAATCCGGGACTTCATTCATGTTTGTGTGTCTGAGCCACTGTATTGTTAATTTCACGGTGTCCACATTGAATAGAAACCTTGACTAAAAAAGTAAGCCAGTGGCCATGAAGAGCAGACACCTGTTGCTGGCATTCTTCTGTCTCACACAGTGTTTCCTGTTTTAGGATGATGAGGATATTGAGGGGGAGTATGGGAGACCGAGCCCCAGAGCTGCCTGTGTTTGGGGGAGGACTGTACACCTGCTGAAGCTGTTAATCTCTCTCCTTGTCTGTTCCTGGAGTTCACCTATTCTCCTATCGACTGTTTGACTCTGACATTTACTTTTAAAATACATCACTGTTGCTACGTTAACATCAAAACGCTGGTGGCCCCGTTTTAGTTTATAGTTCTGGGGCTTTGTTTTAGTCTGGACGGGCAAAAGCTGAGACGTTTGGAAACGATGATCGATCACCAGCATTCGCTTTCTGATTGGTTCTTATCAACCAGAAGTGCTTTAAACACTGTTAGTAACAGTTTCACCTTGTCGTCTGTCCAAGAACAGAAATACCTGCTCTTACTATGAACCCTTGTTGTTTCTCGTTTGTAGTATTTTCTGTCAGTATGCCGACACTACTGCATGACACTACTTGCAGACTCTCGTGTAAACCCTGGGTTTCCACCCACACAGTCAACAAAGTGCTTGCCACCTGGTGGATAAAGTTTTTATGATCAGAACTTCTATCATGGATTTTCTGTTTGTCACTCTGCCTTCAACCTTTTTTAACCTTATTATTTCTTGGCCCTTGAGAGTGGCAATTAATGTTTTTTTTCCTGCCATATCCTTTTAACTCGGCTTTCCAAGTATCTTCAGCTGCTGCAAAAATGTCAGGGTTTGAAAAGCCACAACACTCTGAGATCTGGAGCCAGACCACTGTCTGTAAATATGAGACACTTAGTGTCTTTCTCAATCCCCAAATGACAAGTTTCATGCTGATTTACAGTTAAAGCCTTGTGTTTTCAATAAGAAATTATGACTTCAGCCATTAACTCGCAGCCCACACTGTTCCCATCGTTCCAGTAGTATATCTAATCACTGCAGGCATCACATATTGGTTTGTTATTGTCCTCTGTAGATAATGTTATTTCTCCAGTATCCTCCTCCAGACTTCATTAATTTCATCCTTCCTTAAGGCTGCAGTTACTATCAGTCTCCCAGGGTTCAGATGCATTGATTGATTATATTGCTGTCTCAGTTGAACACTAATCATAGGCCTCTACAGTGATTTATGTGCCTCTTTTCTGTTGTCATCAGACTCATTATGATTGGAACGAGGCATTTATCACAAGTGTTGTAACCTCGCCATTATGAGAAAGTTTTGCAAATGGAAACAGAATCTAGGGCTGACAGTTGGGTGGAGACGAACCATGTGTTTTCAGAGAAATCCCTGAAGATGCATCTCAACGTGGACCTAACTACTGTGTTTCTACTGACTGTATAACACAAATACACCTCTGCACTAAATTGATACAGGCATCATTCCATTAATATTTGATTGATCAATCAATAAAATTGTACTTGTATTGTGCATAATAACAAATCGCAATTTATCTCATAGGGCTTAAAAAGGTGTTACATCCTCTGTTCATAACCCTCAACAAGAGTTAGGACAAAGCACACTCCCTAATCTAGTCTTAGGGCTCTACTGCAGAAGTCCAATAGAATATTGGAGCCTGTAAGTATGTTAAACATACTGGCTTTGCACTATGTAATAGCACAGACTTGTGACATGTTCTTCTGTTCCAAACTTGACTGATTTGTTCTTGGATTGTTTGAATATATAATATAATGTCAATATATTCCTGGTTTCTTTGACCTTTCGAAGCAGTGTGTTGAAGTTCTGTGTTGCTGCTGCAGAGTCTGTGGTTTTTTTGGCAGTGAACCTCACTGTTCTCTGTGTGTTCCTGGGTGTGTCCTGCTCAACTTGAAATACTCCCACTGTGAAAGGCTTTATTAATGCTACAGACTGTGAACTCTACCTCAGCTCAGCCTCCCTCCATCCAGCCTGTCCCTGTCTGGTTCACTCATCCCTGCGTCTTTTTCATGACCTTGTTATTAGCTTCCTTTTTGTTTTTTGTCCTTTTCCACAGTAAATGGGCTGCGTTGGAAACAGTATGTAGTAGAAAAACAAAAAGCAAAGATTGTAACATCATTTAACAGGACGACTGCCTCCACTCTCCTCAGCTGCCCAGCGGGGCCTTGTTATGCTCATAACACACTGATCACCAGCAAGGCTCTGTTTAACTACAGGGAGTGTCTCTTTTGATGCCCACTGACAAAGCAACAGGGTCAACAGGGAGACCAGCAGTTTGAAATACAGAATTTATGAGACTTCAAGTTTTTCACTGCAACATTTATAGCCATTTGTTTTATGTGGCATAAAGTGAGCTGTCAACAGCAGACAGGACAATGATCTGTGTATTGTTTACATGCACAATATGTATGTGATATAGTACAATAAACAGCAAACTGACCCCTGAACTGTGGTAGTAGGTGGAGCTGGTTTAATATCACCAGACTGCTAATGCTCAGTTGGCAGAAAGAAGCCAGTTGGGTCATACTGCATTTGCTGAAACATACACAACCTCACACACCCACACATATGCAGTATTCAGCTAGAGTCTTCCAGGACTTTTAGCCCATAGATGTCTGTGTGGTCTGTATGGAAAATGCTTTCAGTGGATTTTTACCATGCAAATATCAAGTTGCTGCTGCTTTAATGGGAATGTCCCTGTCTCTGCAGTCCGTGCACTTTAAGAACAGTGTGTACTGTCATCCATATTATCTAATGTTTGTCAAACATTGATGACAACTCTCCACTCTACTCAGCAGGGCACCTCTCAGCTTATTGCAAATAGAGCATGTGAGGACAGGACTGTTATAGAGAGGCAGATGAGTAGCAGGCACTTATGAAAACTCTGCCTGCACACAAAACGTGTTTGTGTGTGTGTTGTTTTACATATACCAATTGTAATTTTCATTTGCATTCTTTTTCATCCGTATCCCTCTTCTCTTTCCGTCTTCCTCCCTGCAGGTCTGATGTTAGGCTGTAGCTGCCTCACCCACCATCATGTTCACCAAAAAGAAGAAGTCTCGTATCCAGATCTCTGCTCCATCCAACTTTGAGCATCGCGTACATACAGACTTTGATGAGCAGGAGCAGAAGTTTGTCGGGTTGCCGCGGCAATGGCAGTCGCTCATCGAGGACACAGCCAAAAGGCCCAAACCCTTCATCGACGCAACTGTCATCACCACTGTAGAGCCGCGCAAGGTGCAAGATCAAGCTGCGTTTTGAATTCAAAAATCCATTCACATGACATTTCAACATTCATACAGAATCCTAAAATAGCCACAAAGCTTTGTTGTATTAGAAACTCCTTTCCTGTCGTCCACAATCGACCCATTTCTCCCCCTTAAATCTCCAGGCAATCGTACGTGGCAACAAGATGGGAGTGGACGGCTCTCTGACCTGGCTGCTGGATGAGTTTGACACCATGTCCGTCACTCGCTCCAACTCCCTGCGACGAGGAAGTCCTCCCATCCAACCTCGCAGGGACTCAAGTTCTTCAGGAGGAGGGGGGCAGGAGAATGGAGATCCTCACCACAGACACTACTCACACCCAGACAGACAAGACAGGTGAGGAAATAAAGTGCTTCTCCAGTTGGAGTCATGGCACATAAAATTAAGATTTGTATAATTCTCTTCTTTTCTTCTTCAGCTGCAGCATGTTGTTATACAATCACAATTTTATGATACAAAGTATAAAGAGTTTTTCTCCACACAAATCTGTTCTGATCTATGCATCTCTTTGCTTCTCAGTCACCGAACTAGACCAGAATTCCAGAGTGGAGGTGACCCCCGCCAGGCTCAGCGTGGAGTCCGTCCTCCCCAGAGGGATGATGGAGTTCACAGTCGGCCCCAGCAGCAGCCTCGAGGCCAAGAGCCCAGCAGGGCCCACAGGGACAGACCAGGCTCCGGCCCACCCCCTCCCCCTCACAGAGATAGAGAGTCACGGGACCGGGACCAGGTAATAACAGAAAATTAATCCTGTAGCAAAGATGGAACCAGTCTCACATTTTCACTTAAACATGGACTCATGTGACTTTTCCCTGAAACCTTCTAGACCAGAGTCTTAACCTTGTGTACATTCATCACATATTGATATATCCTTACTCTAAACAAAATGGCTGCTATTGATTTTTAAATCTTAAAAGAACAAATGTTCAAAGTTTTGTCAGTTTTGGTTAAAAGAACCAAAATTTGTGAATTTCTTAAATTGACTTCTGGCTCCATCTGTCACCTGCCTCTTCTCAGGAGCAGGTGGTTCGCAGGGATCAACCCAGTGATCACAGACCAAAGTCGAGCTACGTGACACGGGACGGCAGCCCTCAATCTCCCAGGGACAAGAGGCCTCTCTCTGGGCCCAACATCCGCACCCCAAACCTGCCAGTAACAGAGGGGGTGATAAAGACTGCCCAACAGACCACACGACCTTTCAACACCTACCCGAGGACAGACAGCGAGGGAGGACGCAGCCCCACCGGACAGGTAGGGACAGAGGCACGAACAAAAACACAAGAGTCTGTTCTGAACCAGGACGGGCAGAATTAGAGGAAGCAACCCAGAGGGAAGCTATTGACTAAGAAAAAAAACTGCAGACAGGTGCAAATTCAGTGGCTGATGGATGATAGCCGCCACTACGCTGCTCTTTGTTCTCCAGGTCACATTTAGCTGCTTCTGTCCCGGTTCGCTCCTCTGGCAGCTGTGAGACATAGTTACATGATCATGTCAACATTTCTGCGAACAGAACAGTTTTGTGAAAACGGTTGAAGACAGTTATATTCCCATTTTTTGTTTGTTTTTCTCTATATCCAGTCGATCAAAGAATTTCTCATACGTTTTTACTATTACCCAATATTACACATTGTTTTCTCTGTTTATTAAGCCACTGCAGGCAAGAAATGATTTCCATATTCTAAAATAAAATGATATGCTTTGCTATGCAAGATTAAATCCACATCCCGCCCTCCTAATAGGCCTATTTATGCCTCTGCGTAAAAAAGCTTACCTATTAGGAGTAATTACCCGATTAAGTGCTTGAGGTCATTTCTTCAACGTTTGATCAGTCGTCCCTTTATTTAAAGATGAAGCGATAACATTTCAGTGGTCAAAGGTCACAGTGACCAAATGTGAATTTGGTTTGATGGGGAATTAAGGTGGCAGCTCCAACCCGAGACACCGTCCTTTGACTTTGTACTTCTGTGTGTTTGTAATGATGTTCTCTTGTCTATTTTCTTCCAGCCGGTTCGATACCAGGAATCTTCCCCTCAAAATGGCCCCTCAAGTGGCTCCACCAGAGGTTCCTCTAGCTCCAAGCCCCCTGTCAGCCACCCCCATCCTCATCACACTTCCCACCCAAGCCTGACACCCGAGGCCTCCCAGCACCCACACACTCCTCACCCTAACGTTCCAGCTCCGCGGCCCCCCGTGCCCCCTGGGCCACCAGCGTCAAGTGCATCGTCCCAGGGCCGTTCACCGCAGAGGGAGCCCCAGAGGGTTTCCCATGAGCAGTTCAGAGCGGCACTACAGATGGTGGTGGATCCAGGCGATCCGCGAACCTACCTGGACCACTACATTAAGATAGGCGAGGGGTCCACGGGGATCGTGTGTATAGCCACAGTGAAGACTACAGGGAAACTGGTCGCTGTGAAGAAAATGGACCTGAGGAAACAACAACGCAGAGAACTCCTCTTCAACGAGGTAACAGCTTCTAGTTGAAAAAACAGTGATACAACTTAGAGTCTAAACACACTGAATGTTATTATAGAATACATTGCTTAATAATTTGAGCACAGCAAAAAGAAGATTGTAACCTTACATTTTCAAGACCATACAGTGTGACAGAGAAACCCAACAGTTCCCACAACCAGCAGAGCACTTGGCAACTTTTACTACTTCTCTTTTGCTTTACCTTGTGACTAATTACTAAATTACTAAATGTCTATTTGCTCTGAATGGATAGCACTGATGCTGATTGACGGAATCCAAACTCTTTGTGTTTTCAGCTTTGGGTTTTATTTGATCATAATGAGAAATTTTCTTCCTTAAATATATTTTAAAACCATCAGTGGCCACAACATGTTTTTCTAATACAATACGGTGCCATTAATTCTATGTTTAGAATATTTAGTTTTTGTTGTAAATTCTGTTATGTTTATTACTGAGATAACCGTAAAAGTTGTTCCTATGGTTTTTCTTAGTTACATCAGAGAATATTATACAAACTTCTCAGTATAATACAGTACAGAACAACACCATCACCAACCTTGACCTTCTAATGAAGTGAACAGTGTGTGTACTGTGATGCATTTTCTAACCAGATACCTTATCTTTGAACCTGAACAGAACAATGACTTCTTTCTCCTCATTATATAAATATTAAATTATAACATTCACAAGAGTAAAAAGTATAATCCACACTTTCCCAACACAAGCACATTTTGCTGAGTGTGAATGATCGTCTCACACTTGCAGCAGTTAATCAATGCAGCATGGACCTTACAGACACTTAATAGTCTCCACACCTGCAAGGCCTCCCTGCCGTTCTTTTTGATGAGTAATATAATTATACCCTGTGTTTCGATGGTAACTGTAGGTGGTGATCATGCGGGACTATCACCACGAGAATGTGGTGGAGATGTACAACAGTTACCTGGTGGGAGACGAGCTCTGGGTTGTCATGGAGTTCCTGGAGGGCGGAGCTCTCACTGACATTGTGACACACACCAGGTAAAGAGAGAGACTGTTTATGAGATAAGATTAATATATTTGGCATCCTATGACTTTTAACCATTGTGGATTGTTACGTGACTCTGTAGACTGTGTTATCAATTGTACTTTGAGTGTCTTTCTCATGAACACACATTTTTATTGTTGCTGCCTCTCCATTGCTGTCTATTCTGCTATCCTGAATAAATCCCTCACCCACCAAATACGTGTTTCATCCATAAGGGGGCAGTGTTACCTCATAAATAGAGATGAACAACAGCAAATCATGTATTGTTTTAAACGGCAGCTTTCCAGATATTTCTCTACAACTATAAAACATGGATACACTGTTCAAAGCTACAACATGAATTCAGAAATGATCACACCTGACGGCAGAGAGAACTGACATTTCTCTGTCTCTTTCCGTCTTCAGGATGAACGAGGAGCAGATTGCCACAGTGTGTCTCTCTGTCCTGAAGGCATTGTCTGTCCTCCACACACAGGGTGTGATCCACAGAGACATAAAGAGTGACTCCATCCTCCTCACTCATGATGGTCGGGTATGTACCACACTCCCATCTACTGCATTGTAGCTCTTTCTAGGCAGGAGGAGCAGCTTATAAGAGGTTTTCAAGTTGTAAAGGGATTTGGGCCAAGAATTAACTTATTCAATTAACATAGATGGGGCGTTAGTGTTGGTGGAGGTATGCACCCTTCTAGTTATGTTTTAAGGAACATCAGTGTTTCTGCAATGGCCCAAGGAATGCACATTATAGACTGAGCTTCCCCGAGCTTACTCAGTCATGTTCAGAGTTTTCTTTCAGGATGCACTACCTCAGAACTGCAACCACTGGTAAATGTGACCCACTTTCACAAATGTCTGCTTGAAAAAGGAACTAAATGCGTGTTTGTTAACCACAAATGTAGAGCTGAGGGAGATGGCAAATAACTTCCTGCCTGTTGACAAATAGGTTCCTGCTTTCTACAGAAACGTGGTTGCACTGCAACCTCAGGGCAAACGGAGAATGCAACATCTGGTGTGTCACAGTTAACAAACACATACATGTTCGGTGCCCTGAAGTTTATACCTCAGGTGTGGTCCTGCAAGTTGTCTTCTCATTGTATGTGTTGAATGGAGCTCTTAGAACCAGAACAGCTGCAGATATATAACAAATCCACTAAACTCTGTTTAGAATTCTTCATATTTTAAAGGTGTCCTTCTAAATATTGGAGATAAACTAACTTTTAAGTCTTTTTAACTGATCTCAAGTTCAGCTTCACTCTTCAACTTGCTGGAGGTGATTCAGGCCATTGAAGCTGTGACTCAGTTCCACACTTCTCACAGGAGATTGTACTCAACAAACTGAAAGTTGAAATATTCTCCATATTTACAATGACTCAACTACTTTTAATCAAGCTGCTACTTTAAAGGAACAAAATTATTGTTGCTTAAATATTTTAAATAATCTTTGTATAATAGGAATAATAAATTATTATTTTAATTTTAGTTTAGTTTCTCTTTCTTTTTTGCTGAGTCTCTTGTCTTTATAGCAACATACCCTCAATAGCATCTAATGTCTGACTGTCAAACATTAGATGCTAAGATGTAAACCACAGCGTCTTTGATGACAGTTCATGAGTGTTTGCGGTTTGACATTTTAAGAGCTTTGGTTTCACCAGCTGCCTCGGCCTCCTCCACATTGTTCTCAGTAGAGCTGCGATAATTTGACAGAATGTGTCTGAGACTGTTCATACATGTGTGCACCAGTTCTCAAAGCAAGTTTAATTTCTCTTTATGAACCATCTGGGGATAGCAGGTGTCTTTGTGGACAACATAAAAACTGCTTCTCTGTTTGGCTACCAGCTAAACACAAACCTTCTCAGAAATAGGTGGGTGGCTCTGACTTTACAGACTGGACTGCTCAACCATTGAGGCGTTACAGGCTATCTCTTTGATATACAAATTGAGTATTGTAAGTAAGATGTTCAGATACCTCTTCTTTTCTCTTCCCGATACTGTTTCAGATACCTAAACTTTGCATATCGATACCAGTGCATTTAAAAATACAACTCGTATAATGTATTTTAACTGCTGTTTGCCTCTGACGCTGTAAGAAGTGATGAGTGTTACCATTGTTGTATGGCCTGGCTCAGGTCAAACCCTTTGAATTAGAAATACATAAAAAGAATGAAAAACATTCATTTATTATCTAGATTGACAGTCAGAATACTTATTAATAAATCTAGGAATACACCACAACGACTTCCTTTAAACGGCTGAAGTGACATGTTAGCTGTCTCTGGCTAATGCCACTCTACCAGAAATCACTTTTTCCTCACCTCTTTAACACTTTAATACTTTAACAGTACTTGCTGGAAGAAGTACTGCGCTTTACTCCAGCTGTTGTGGAGCCGCAAAGAAGAAGTGATTTCCAGAAATAGAAAATTGCATTTTTATCTGGGTGAAATACTTGAAAGACGTGGTATTACGTTGGTACATAGATTTGCTACTCGCCAATGCACCGTGTATTTTCAGCAGTGGAGGCATTTCAGATGGTTTCTATTAATGTGTACTCCTGGTAAACCACCTGCACTGCAGAGACATTCTTCCAGATTAGTTTAGACCAACAGCAACATCAGGAAACATTCCTGCTGCTAGCATAAAGAATTATAAATAAGGTGGATCCAGTAAGTTATTGTTTGTCTTTTATCACATGCTCATTTTCATATTGAAAACTTGTAACGGACAACAAGTTTTCAATTTATGGTGTCTTTGTTGTGCATATCCGGTGAAAAATGATCTTAACATTTGCCTTTTGTTTCTCTCTTTTGATTCGTCTCGTTCTGCCTCCACCTCTCTTCTGTCTGCAGGTGAAGCTGTCAGATTTTGGGTTCTGTGCTCAGGTGTCTAAGGAAGTGCAGCGCAGGAAGTCCCTGGTTGGAACACCTTACTGGATGGCACCAGAGCTCATATCCAGGTTGCCTTATGGACCAGAGGTAACACTTTCCTCAGCATCTTACCGTTATTTCATTATCTAAATAAGCAGCATCTTTTCTGCTTGTTGACTGTCCCTCACTTCCTTTACTTCACTGTCCGTCTAGGTGGACATCTGGTCTCTAGGCATCATGGTCATAGAGATGGTGGACGGGGAGCCGCCGTACTTCAACGAGCCACCGCTCAAAGCCATGAAGATGATTCGAGACAACCTTCCTCCCAAACTGAAGAATCTGCACAAGGTACGGAGACGAACGCTGAAAATACTTGGATGCAAAACCATTAACAGATTGCATTTTGTTGTCTAAATCAAATGCACCTGTTTGGTATTAGGGTTGTTGATATGCATCGTATATTTCACACCAGATTGAGTCTGAAAACTCACAATGTTTTCTCTCTCTCTCTGTCTCTCTCCTCGTCGTCTCCCAGGTCTCCCCTGTGCTCAAGGGCTTCTTGGACAGGATGTTGGTGCGAGACCCCGCTCAGAGAGCCTCGGCCAGCGAGCTTCTCAAACACCCCTTCCTGGCGAAGGCTGGTCCACCATCATGCATCGTCCCTCTGATGAGGCAGAACAGGATGAGATGAGACATGTGACACTAACACCCTCAGCACCGTGGAGGGCTGCGTGTGCAGGTTCAGATGGAACAGAATACTCCTGCACACGCACCAGTGGCCCTCAGAGGCTACGGATGAGAGTCTGATGGGTGTTTCCTGGGTGTGCCGGAGTATTCTCTTTTTCTTAAGTGAACCACTGAACTGTGAGGAGTGTATTCCCTGAATAAGAAGCATGTTGGTGTGAGTGAGTGAGTGAGTGATTGTGTGTGTGTGTGTGTGAGTGAGAGAGAAAGAGTGAGAGCTCTCACTTGGTGAAGGTAGAGAACAGCAGAGACGCCACGAACTGCCTCTCGAATCATTTCAGCTGACTTCTTTAATTTCAAGGTCCTGACCTGGAAAGATTACGGACTGTGGCTGTTTTTATTTTTTCCATTTGGACCTAACCTGGATTTTAAGTGTGATGGTTGGGTTTTGCACACCAGTTAGATACTTCCAACGAGCCAAGAGCCCCTTGGATAATTTTAGATCTAGTGGAAGCGACATTCTAATCACACTATTTGACAGTTTGGATTTTCAGCTCTACGAGAACGTCACTCACCGATGGATTCCAGACTCTGACACTATCCTCATCACACCCAGAACTTACTACTGAGGGCTGAACTCTAATGACTCAGAAAGGAGCCAGACAGACTTTATTTTGTAGCCATAAAAAATACTATCTTTCCCGAAAACACACTAAAAAGAGGTAAACACTGGAGTTGTGTTTTTTTTTTTTTTTAACAGATAAAATTTTCTTATTTTCTCCTTATTTTCCTGTGTAAGTACAATGAACATAGAGAGATATATCAGTTGTGATGTTTTACTATCTCTATTTTGTGATTGCTTTATTATTATGATTTGTTTTCTGGTTTATTTTAGAGTGACATGATGTTTTATGAAGCACTGTTGACGAGAGATAGAAGCTGCACTCCCATTTGATTCCAGCACACAGATAATAGACACTATAGACATTTTATTTTGTTTTTAGACCAGATGAGAAAACAGACTTTTGACCTTTAACCTTAGATGAGCAGAAATGGTTTTAGAGAAACAGAAAAAGCACAGAGAAGAAGAGGGTGAGATACACCACACTGAAAAAAACACATTAAGGAGAGTAGTTTGTTTTTCCAAACTTTGTTTTTATGTAGATTTTTAAGTAACTCGCTCCACAAGCTGAGTCTTCTGAGGTAAAAAAAAAATAAAAAAATGAGCACAAGCTGACAAACACAAAGCTATTTTCATTCTGTGGTGAACGTCAGCTTTCTTGTAATGCAGTCGCTCTCCTTCAACAAACACTGCGGCTGCTGTTCTGAGTAAATGGTCAGCTGCTGACGTGAAGGTGCGCTCATCGCTTGTTCACTTGAATCGATGTTTGATTACCGAGTTAATGTGTCTGCCAGCCCATAGATCCACCTCAGAGTGTCCGAGAGTAAAAGGAGCAAACTAAAGATCTTTTGTCATCCAGCGATCCCTCGTTCACCACCAACAACTCTTAATGTAGCAAACAGAAACGCTTCCGAGATCGGGGGAAAGTGTTTTGTTTAGATTCATATAATCTGTCATTGAATGTTGTTGCTCAATCATCCTCCCAAAGTCGTCAGCGCGCTGAACGGAACCACAGAGAAGTAACGACGGTTCGGTTTGTGCCCAGTCTGGTACTTATACACCACTTGTGTCCTGAGAGGCGTCTTTATCAGCAGACATCTGTAGTTACACACTGTACCCTGTAGCAACGCACAGTCATTTATACACCGGATGAAATTAAAGATAAGGCCGCTGCTCTGTTAATTAATCATTCATCTCCCTCAGAGTAATGAGACGCAGAGCTGCACATAAACAGCCCGCGGATACTTTGTCCCTGCCACTTTTTTTTTTTTTTACTTCAACCTGCACTTCCAAGAAATGTCTGGTTGTTGATTCTTCCCCTCTCTCCTTGGCAGCTCACCGGACTGAACATTTTCAGCGGTGTCTGTTTTAAATGTGTTTCCGTGTTCGTAGCCAGGATGAGCCGAGCTGAATGAAATGATGGTGAGTGACAATCAGGTGTCGGTGAGGTCATTCAGTCCAGGATGTGGTTTAAACTTTCTTGTTTTCTAGTTTGAGAGAATGTTTCCTCAAAATCCGAAACTGAAATTTGAACATTGATCCCAGTTGAATCCTTTGTTCATCACTCAGTGCAGTTTGAATAATTATTAACATTTGTCGGAGATTTACAACAAATTGAAAATATAACAAAGCTGAGAATTGTCATCAGGTGGAAATCACCAGCTAATATTAGGAATTTTAAATTTAACTGATTATCAATCCCACAGTTTGGCAAATCATCATTTTGACCATTGAGTCATGATTTTTGGAGAGAAAACGTGGGAATTATAAAATATTTAACAAAAATAAACGAGCACAATTTTGCTGTCAGGCTGAGATTTGATAAATTGGAAAACATTTCCAGAAAGTCAATACTGTGACAGAAAGTTATTATCTTTACTCGCTATGTGGTTTTGTCCTTTTCTCAAAATATTGATTACGTTTCGCATCATTTATTTTCCAAACTGTGGCCTTAATGCTCATTTTTATTCTCTTTGTTCGGGTGTAAACAAAAACTTTTTTCTGGTAAAACAGACGTCGATGTTGTTCCTGTTTAGTCTCATCTCACATTCGATCAGTCGTGAATATCAATGGGAAAATCTTAGACCGACTGATGATGCTCATTAGTTCGACTGTAACAACATTTTGATGGACCAGATTCTACTGCTGTGTGTATGTGCACATGCTTCTGTGAAGGTTGTTTTGTGTGTATATATATGTGTGTGTCTGTGTGTGTGTGTGTGTGTGAGACGACATTTATGCCTCGTCATGACTTCATGCCTTAACACTTACAATCACTACTTGGTGGATTAACATGATTCTGACACTACGACTGTTAGTGATGGTGAAAGTAGACGTCCACAGCGCTTTTACTCTCCCATCTCACACATCTGTGATGTCTTCAGGTTATTTTAATGTCGTGTGGGACGGCTGGTGTCTGCATCTGATGAGTTTTCATTGACATTCAGCACAGTTTTCAACTTGCTTACCAATGAAGATTAAGGTGTTTTTAGGTTTTATTATGTGGTTACTGAGTGCCTCAAAGTGTCGGCCGACTTCTCATCTTGATGTTTCATGACGGAGAAAAAAAGGTCTTGTCGAAAGTGATTTTTCAAGAAGCAGAACTCCTGGCAATGTTTTTTTTTTTTTTTGTGAGTCTCTCGCTGCTTCACACAACAGAGCTTCCAGCTGTTTTCTGTTGGTTTCTTTACTAATGGCCAACAAGCAGCTGAGGTGCAGCTGTTCAGGGTTTCGTTTTCTGCTCACAGACGTTTCTGGATTTGTTCTTTTTAGATGAGAAGCCTTGGTCCACAGTGAACGTGTGGAAACTGAGGCTCATTTCTGGTGTCGCCAGAGACAACGACCACTACTGAGCAACTCGCTCACTCTATAAAACATGTGACAAAAAAACAAATGAATTCTTCCTCCTCAGACAGACTGTTGTTATTCTCATTGACTCACCGCCTGTTTAAAATCTGATGTTGATCTGTTGTAGTTTTGACATAATGTTGTCAAACATCAGATTCAGACAAATGTACCTGCACCATCTTGTTTTTGTAAATTTCACTGGTATTGTAAAAACATAGATTTCACGTTGCAAATGTTACTTTTTTTTGCAAATACAATTTTTGTAAAAGTCGTTCACTGTGTGTGTTTTTTGTAACACGAGTATTTGAAATGTTTTTTTACAGAGGTGGGAAAAAACTAATGTGAACAACAACTTGCATTGGTTTCACTTTGTGCACCTTGAGTCTACATGCATCTGTGTCAAGGCGGAACCACAGATGTGTAACTTGTATTAACACATCTGTCACACTGGTTGTTATAATGATAATATTTTAGATACTTGACTTCAGAGTCATAGTTTCTAATCTGTATAAAAATAATGTTTCCAATGTTTGTAAATTGATTTTGACAATTTTGAGTCAGCAGTTACTCGACACATACATTTAATGTATTCATTATAACCTGGGGACGTTACTCACCACAAACATGTGGCTCATCAATAATCATAGATGTAATTAACAATTAGAGCAGCAATGACAGGAACACCAATTAAAAATAGTTATGATGACAATAATAGTGCTGCTGGATGAGCGCCCATGATGCACTGGGCCCCTCCGTCCTGATGTGTGTGTCACGTTACTTGGTGTCACTGTGTTTTCTCTGATTATTTATATCACATTCTGCAGTTTGTCCTCTGTCTCCCTGTCTGTCGTCACTCTGCAGGAATCCACAGCACGAGGCTGCACGGTGTCACGCGTTGTCAGAACGAGGCCTAAACGTACAGTCAACCTGAAAATAATCTACAAGAGACTAATCACACGGCTGATGAAGTTCCCACATGCTGCTTAATGAGCTGACACCAGAACCAGTGGGAGCCAAGAAGCCTCTGCTCCTCTGCTGCATCACAGCAGCAGCAACACTCAGCACTGTTGTATTTTTAGTACGTCCACCAAGAAGTGAGCTGTGCAGCTCTTCAGCTTTTACTGTAAACACTCAGTGTGTGTGTGTGTGTGTGTGTGTGTGTGTGTGTGTGTGTGTGTGTGTGTGTGTGT